TGTTTTCTTTTCCTTTCTCTCCTTCTTTCTTTCTTTCTTTCTTTCTTTTTGAAATTTAAAGAAAAAATTTATTGAAGATCTTAAAAACAATTCCTAAAAGACTGGCTTTTCCAGAAAACTGTACCCACACAATGCACTGCGTCTATCATGTTAAAACGTGCATTAGACACAGATACAAAAACCATGAAACAATTTGCCATTCTTCAAAAATCTGAGCAAAGACAAAATGCCTAAGGAACAACATGGATGACTTGAAAAGGATGGGCTCTTTAAGCACCATTAAAAAAAAAAGAGCAGGGCTGGGGATTTAGCTCAGTGGTTTTGCTGCATGCTGCGCAAGCGCAAGGTCCCAAGTTTGATCCCCAGTACCAGAAAAAAAAAAAAAAAGAGCACAGATGGATGAGTGTGTTCAGTTATATAAACTAAATTGGACCTTTGGCACTAGGAATCAAGAGCATTTTGTCATATAGCATTAACACATATTATAAAAGTATGTAAGGTCAAAGGAATAGAACCACCAGCATTCAAGAGCAGCTTTGTCAACTAGGCAATACAACACTCTACACCATGTCTCTTTGTTGTCCATCATTGAATACACTGGTAGCAACTTTGAAATGAAAAGAAAAAAGAAAAAAGGAGCCGTAACCCCTTTTTATTTTCTATTTAAAATCAAAACAAACATCAACTCTGTTGTACACTAACATATTCAAAGCACTTCATTTGTACAAGAGAAGGATTAGGAGCAAAAATGTGTTGACAGAAATCCAAACACTGGTAAAAGGGCCTCACACTGCTTTCTGATGGTACTCAGGAGGGGCCACTTCATAATCACTGGCACTAAACAAGGTTGCTGAATTCTTCACCAGATTCCTGAGGAAATTATGAAGATAATTCAGTAATAAAGCAGGGCTCTTCTCTTCGAGAGGTGTGTAGGCCAACATTGCTCCAATTCATACAAATAGTCTCAGTAGATGTGTTGCTCCGTACACCTGCGACATGGGTGCATCAGGGTGACCAGCAAGGACCTCAGCATACTGTGGTCTCTCAGATTTGTAGAGGAGCTGAGTGCCCAGCATCACACTGAAGTGTTCTTTGATCCCTGCTACAACCTCATTAACAGCATACTCCTTATTACCTGTGTTTCCTTGAGATTTCTTATAATTCGCATAGTCCTCTAGAATGGAATCCACATTCCTCTTGGCAAGAAGGTAAAAGAGCTGTTTCTGTCTGGGAATTAAGTCCCAGTCATCAACAAGCCATGGTTTTAGCTCTTCGGGGATCTTTACTTTAACTTCAACTCTGTTCATAAGTGTTTCTTCATTGTCAACAGTAGGATCTACCGGAGCCCTCTTCTTCCGAGGAGGCTGAGGTGTCTCACTGGTACTGCCACCATCTCCATTACCAGGGGTTTTTTGTTTGTTCTTTTTTGTTTTCACTTCAACAGTTTTCTGCTGCAGACCAGATGTCTTCTTTCCTGGAGCAGCCCCTCTCCTCTTTCCCTCTGCATATTGCTCCTGATTGGCTTCCTGAAGTTCTCGCTGTTTCTGTACATTGGTGTCCACATATTTGAGTACTCTGCTTTCTGGAACCCATTCATCCCAATTTTTATTCCAACCACTGTAATGTATAAAGTGTTTTACTTGTTTGTCCTTTATGGCAACCTTTACACACTTTGCTTCATAAAGAAGAGGCCCATGAAAGCACAGTACTCATTTACCCTCCTGAAACTTGGGCTTCGGGTCCTGCTTGGGCGCCATTTATAAGTGATTCGCTGCCTCCTTCTCCCACCACCCCCGACTACTGCCCCCTACTTTCTACCCCACCCCAGCTCTCGTCAGATGCCGTCAGGCCCAGCTGCTCTGCGTCCTGGGCCCGATTTGCTGACACCCACAGACCTCACAGCCAGGGAATTGTTTTCTATTATTAGTTTTCGATTATTATTCTTTCTTTATTGTGTTGTTTTTTCCAGTCCTCTTTCTGGGACTCCTGATATTTGCATGAAAAGTCCCCTGGACATGTCCTCTAAGTCTCTCCTTTTTCTTTTTTTTTTTTTTTGGTGCTGGGGATCAAACTTGGGACCTTGTGCTTGCAAGGCAGGCAGCAGAACCACTGGGCTAAATCCCTGGCCCTCTCCTTTTTCTTCAGTGTGATTTTGCTCTTTTGAAATATTTCTTACATTTGAATTTCCAAGCTGTTTATTCAGGTGTTAATAATAAACATCTAGTCCTTCAACTCAACATATATATATATATATGTGTGTGTGTGTGTGTGTGTGGTTTGGTTTTTTTTGTACCAGGGGTTGAATTCAGGACCTTGCACTTGTGAGGCAGGCACAGTGCCACATTCAATCTCTTATGCAATTATTTGTTTTTAGTCAAAATATTTTGTTTCCTTAGCAGCTTTATTTCTTTTGTTTGTTTCTGTTCTTTTAAGACATGGTCTTGCTATAGCCCAGGCTAGCCTTGAACTCACTATGTAGACCAGGCTGACCTTGAACTTGGCAGCAATCCTCCTGCCTCAGTCTCCCAAGTGCTGAGATTACAGGTATGTGCCATCATGTCCAGACAGAGTTTTATTTTACTGAAAGCTGTAATTCTGAAGGTTTTATTCATTCTTTCTGTGTTGTAATAGGTCCGTTTACCTGCACTGCAACATTTCTCTAACTGACCAAGGCTCTGTGCACCCTTAGACACTTTACATGATGCCAGCCTTGCCAAGACTAGTAAATGCAATGTTCTTTGCTCCATGGACAGTTAAGGTATCAACTGTACCATCATGGAATGCATTTGGAGACCTAAAGGAGCAGTCTCCTTACACTCCTTACTGTCTAAGCCTCAAGGAGAAGTACTCACCTCATCTACTGAGCCACTCTGCTGAGGTCCTCAGATCTCCATGGTCTAAATTCTGCCAAAGACTTCTGAGTACTTATGCTCCTTAATTTATGATGCATTATAGTTATTCAAAAATGCACTTGAGCTGGCCACGGTGGTGCATGCTGTAATCCCAGCACTTGGGAGGCTGAGGCAGAAGGACTACCACAAGTTTGACACCAGTTTGGGCTACACAGTGAGTTCAAGGCCAGCCTGAACTACACAGTCAGTAGCTCTATTAGTGTCTCAAGAAAACAAAAACATGCATTTGATACACCTAACCTACCAATCATCATAGCTTACCCTAACCTACCTTAAACGTGTTCAGAGCATGGACATTAGCTTTCAGTTGGGCAAAATCATCTAACACAAAACCTATTTTACAACAAAATCTATATAGACACATAAAGAGACACAGATGGGATTTTGTAAACATGATAGCATGCGAAAACACAAAACACAATAACCAGAAGGTGCTGACAACATAGTACACTGTGGAGTATCAGGTGTACTCTTGTGACTCCATGGCTGGCTGGAAGCTGCGGCTTGCTGCTGCCCTCCAGCATCATGAGAGTATGGTGCCACATAACTGCTAGCCTGGGAGAAGAGCAAAATTCCAAACCTGAAGTACAGTGTAGCTTCTACTGAATGCACACAGCTTTCCCACCACGGAAGAGTTGGGAATCCTCAGCCAAATCATTGTAGACTGAGGATGGTCTGTATTTATTCCCTCTCAACTGCTCCCCTATTGCTTCCACTGTCTTCTCACCCAGCAGGAAATGAAGTCCGCATAAGCTTCTCAGTTGCTTTTCTTACAGAATCAAGGTCCTGCTCATTCCTTCCTAGTCCTATCCACCTGTCAGCCTAACAGCAGCTCCAGGAAGGTGAGTTTGCTGATAGTAGCAAGGGAAGACAGCAAGGACAAGAGATCAACAGTCATCACCCCAGACACTCCCTCAAATTAAGTGGAAAATATTCTAATTTCCTGTCAATTAAGCATTTCTAAGGAATGTACTGGAAACAGGAGGAAGCTTTCAAAAGGAATCAAAAAATGTCATTTACTTAAAAATACCTGAGTCATGTCTATACACAGGGCACCAGTATTGACTTGTAAGGTGATTCTTTAGGAATCACTGATTTATGTTTAAGTTCTGCTGTTGGTGTAATAAAAGTTCACAACAAATATAAAAAGTGAAATATTTTAAAAAGTTACCCACTATATATTCTGTTTATCATTAGACATACTTTTGGGGGATGAGATGGCTATTTACATTGAAGATAAAAGAAATTAAGATTTTCATGGGTAGATCAATTACGTATATAAAAATGTATATGACAAAAGCTATCTTCTCTTTTTTTTTTCTTTAAACTATTGTGATACAGAAGTGGCGAGTAAAAAGCCACAAGAAAGACAAGCTTTTCCATTGCCTCATTTCTGTTAGATCTCCCTTATTTTTATACAACTTATTCCACGGCCAAAGAGCTGTCAGCTTGTATCATATCACAACTGCAAGTTTACATACAAAACCCAGACACATGCAGGCTCTTCAATCATCTAAGAGGGCTCTGAGCATTCTGCAAACTTGGAAGACTTTGTGTAAAAGTACAGATAATCCAGCTTTGTATGGATGAAAAAGACAAAAGAATCCAAGTGAGTTAAAAAGTATTTTTTGGATCATGTGAGCAGAAAATGAAAGAATCTGAAGAACTTACTAAGACAAAGATAGAGAAAAGGTTAGGGAAATAGCCTCTCCCCTTAACCCTGATGAGATGCCTCATGCATTCCAGGGTTCAGGGTTCCTATTACAGCTACTGGCGAAAGTACCAGCCATGTACTCTTAAGTCAAAGCGGGAAGATGACTGACGAGGCTCTTAGGCTGCACAGTAAAATACCTAACTGGTTTCTCAACAGAAAGACTGAAATTACTGTTGACAGTCTACTCATGCCTGCCCCATACCACACTCAAGACCCACGTCATGAGTGTCAAAGACAGGGCCGGAAGTGTAGCTCAGGGATAGTGCACTAGCCTAGCACGACTGATGCGCTGAGTTGGATCCCCAGCATTGTGTTAGAAGGGGTCAAAGATAATGAATGCAAACCAAATAAATTGGATTTTAAAAAGAACATACCTGTTTTAGGCCATAAGGCATTGACTGCAATTTCATCTTTAAATTCTTCTGCCATTCCCAGCACACACATAGACATACCATATTTAGCAATGGTATAGGCTGAAAGAAACCACAAAGAATGATAATTTGAGAAACAAATTAATTTGTCAATAAAAACAACCAACTTCTTTCTATTATTATCTTCTCCCTGGTATATTTTTGAGAATTCATTTTAATAACATAAAAAACACAAAACATAATTTTAAAATGTGTTATATAAGAAGTTTTTATGGTAAGTAACTGGGCAGACATGAGCTAGTTTTTTATATTCTGATATTTGATTAAAAGGAAAAGTAATAAACTTTCATTTTTCTTTTTTTTTTTTTGGTACCAGAGATCAAACTCAGGTCCTTGCACCTGCAAGGCAGGCGGTGGAACCACTGAACTAAATACCTGGCTACTTTCATTTTTCTTAATACTATAGTAATAAATTACACTATTGTTTCCTCATGGTTTTTTTTTTCTTTTTAATGAAAGATGATTCCTTGCACTGCAAATTAAAACACAATGAAAGTGATTATTTAGAGAAACTACTGCCAATAAAATAACTGTAGCTCATTGGTAGGGTGTGTGCTTAGCATGCACAAGGTGCTGGATTTGATCCTCAGTACTACAAACAAATAAATAAATAGCAGCCACAACAACAAAATGTTGCAAACCAGGCACAGCAGTGCATGCCTGTAATCCCGGGCTGAGGCAGGAAGATTGCAAGTTCGAGGGCAGCCTAGGAACTTAGTGAGACCTGTCTAAAAATGAAATAAAAAAGGGCTCTAACCCTTCTAAGAGTGCTTGCTTACCATGTACAAAGCCGTAGGTTCAAGTACCACAAAAAAAAAAAAAAAAAATTGCAAATTCACTTAACCTAGTCAACTGCAGAACTTCTTCTAGTTTTGCTTAGTAGGTTCCCATTCCAAGCACGTTTCCAAATGCTAGTGAATTATATTGAAATAAGAACTAAGTATTTGATACAATGATTTTAAAGGAAGCACTTATACATAAATCTTGTTACTTACCATACTCACCTTACTTAAATCATTAGTTTGCTATGAAAGGTAAAATATTTCATGGATAATTTTTAACCAACTTCATTAAAGAATAAATTATGCACAATAAAACATACTCACTAGGGTCTGGAGATTTAGCTCAGCGGTTTCAGCGCCTGCCTCACAAGCGCAAGGTCCCGAGTTCAACCCCTGGTACCAAAAAAAAAAAACCAAAACCAAAACAAAACAAAACACACTCACTAGACATGAAAGAGCTTTCCGAGATGATGGAAATCTCAATCTTGACTTGCATAACAGTTATACAAGTACTGTATACACATTTGTCAAAATTCATTAAACCAAGGCTGGGGATTTAGCTCAGTGGCACTGTGCCTGCCTCAAAAGTGCAAGGTCCTAAGTTCAATCCCTGATATCAAAAAAAAATTAATTACACTGAACCATTAATATCTGTGCATTTTACTGAAAGTGAATTATACCTTAAATTTTTTTTTTTTTGGTACTGGGGATTGAATTCGGGTCCTTGTGCCTGTGCAGCAGGCGGTGAAACCACTGAGCTAAATCCCTAGCCCCAAAAAGTAAATTATACCTTAATTTTTAATTGTAGCCAAATGATTCTCTGTTATTTTCAAATTTTACTTACTGACTTGGGCACAGAAAATTCAACACTGTCTACTGTCTACAGATTGTAATTACATAATAAATATATTAACTTCAAAAAGATTAAAAAGACAAAGCATCCCCTCATCCTACTACCTACCACAGTGCTGCTTGAACCATACTGGATTTAAATTCAGTGGTGGGCTGAGATTGAGGATATGAGCAATTTTACTCTTTTTCAAAAAAGGAACACATGCTTTAGATCTGAAAGTGAAAGAAAACACAAGTGAAGTTCATAGCTTTCTAACAATTTCTTCCCATTTCTAAGTTATATTTTAAATTACTCCTCCAGAGTAACTAAACTTGCTCCAGTAATCAATAGAGTACCTAGTGTTTATTTTTGTTTGTACAATACTTTTGTTTTTCTAGAATGTAGATAGGAAAAGCAACTAACTTCCATGCTTTGAAATTTTACTTAATGGCCTGAATATATGATCTGCTTAAAAAAATCAAATCCTTGATAGATTAGCATTATGCCCAACCAAGGTTACCCTCAACCATGAACAGTTCCCAATTCTCCCTCCCCAACACACTCAAAACTTTTGTTTTGTTTTGTATTTTGGTACTGGGGATCGAACTCGGGACCTTGAGCTTGCAAGGCAGGTAGAGGAACCACTGATCTAAATCCTCAGCCTTACTCATAACTTTTAGTAACAGTTAATGTACTAGTCAGTCAGCCCTGTGATAAAGAACACAGATGTTCAAGGGAAACAGACCTGGGCTCAATCCTGCTTCTGCCCCTTCATTGTGTGAGCTTGGGCAAATTTTATAACATTCTTATTCTCAGTTTTCTCCTCTATAAATGTTGATAATTCCCACTATCATCTTGGATTGGCCAAAGGATGGAAATGAGATGACGTAGAAGAGATACTTACGACAGTGCATATACTAAAGATGAAATTAACTATTGCTATCATAGTAGTACATCTACTGATTTATTTCACATAGACAGTTCAGATAACTCTAGAACTGTAATTTAGTAATGTAACTCTCAATGCATTCCAAAATTTAATTTGTACAAATACAAAATACAATTCACCCTTAGGAGCAATGTAAAATTTCATTTTTTTAAAACTGCTCATAAGGATAGGTAATTTATTTTATAAAAGATTTGTGTCTAACACTTTTAAAATTTTAAGTATTCAATTATAACACCTTATAGCTAAACAATATATTATAGCTTAAATATTTTATAGCTTTATTTCACACTCAAGGACAACCAGGACTTTGAGCCAGTCTCTTCTTCCTTCAAGTCAGTTTTATTTCCCAATGTATAACACTTAGATTACCAACTTCAACATCTTTCCAAGTTTACAAACCAAATACAATCAATACAGGGTTTTTGTATGTATTGTTTTTATCTCCAAACATGCTTCATCTTTACCAGAGTGAAGGGAAGAGGGGCAAGCAATACTATAGTTGATTTTTGTTTGTTTTTTGTTTTTCTGGTACCGGGGATCGAACTCGGGACCTTGAGCTTGCGAGGCAGGCGCCAGAACCACTGAGCTAAATCCCCAGCCCACTATAGTTGATTTTTATTAAAACAGTGAACTTGCACCCTCAAAGCATCAACAGGAAATAAAATGAATGTATTCCAGACAATGAGACCATATTTTACACTCCAAGAGAAGAGCTCATTTCAATTACAATATAAACATGAGCTTTCCCCGGATCTATAGGCAAAACCTTCCTATTTGCACTTTGCCAGTCTGGCCCTCAACATTACAGTATTAACCTCATGTCAAGGGTGTTTTTCAAAGCCACAAACAAGCCTTTTTGTGTTCTACTGAAAAGCTTCAGCACCACACTTAGATACAAATACCTTCAGCTTTGAGTCGGTTGAGTTTCCTGACCAGACTTTTAAGCTGTGCTGCTAATTTGGCTCAGATCTGTTTATAACTAGGCAAGTTCTCTGAGAATACACTGTGACAGTCTCCCCCGCAGATCTTCGTGACTCACGTAAGGTAGGTGCCTCTGGTGTTTACGCTCATCATCAAATCCACCTTCTTCGTAGGTGTTTCCATTGTGTTGGTCAAGCTAATAGCACTGGCATTGTTCACCAAAATGTCAATTCCTGTTTCCAAAGTAATCAATTTGATTTTAAGTAGATGAGACTTTTTTCACACACATACACAAATAAAAGCACTTACTCTATTTCATTGAACCTTCAGTTGATTCACAAATACTTCTTTTATATAATACGATACACCAGTGCAAGCATCAGTAGCTGTCTCTAAATAGCACCTACAGCTGGGTGTGGCAGTGCATGCCTATAATACCAGTACTAAGGAGGCTGAGGCAGGAGGACCACTGAGAGTAAGTTTAAGGCCAGCCAGGGCAACTTAACAACTTAGCGAGATCCTGTCTCAAAAGTTTTAAAAAGGGCTGAGAATGTAGCTCAGATCTTGGGTTCAATCCCCAGTACTGAAGGGGGAAAAAGAAAATCCAGCACTTACATGATTTTTACTAGCACAATAGAGATGTGCCATAGGAAACCCCAGGGAGCTAGCTTCCACCCTATCTGTTCTCTTACCTCCTGGTCTTCCCTCCCTATCTCCACGAACCTTAGGTCAAATTCCTTTCTAGTATGTCTCCAAGGCCTATGGCCCTTCCACACGTACTGGTCTCACTTTCCCTCAAGGCCCCTCTCTTCAGGGGAAGGGGTCCTTTCTGGTCTTGGGAACTGAGAAAGGAGAAAGATCTTGAGTTTTAATAACAGACAAATGATCAAAATGGATTGATTCCATTTTAGTGACTCAAAAATAAATCTATAATAATTATAATTTCTGTTACTCTATCCAGTTCCTATCTATATGCAATCTATCTTGTTTATATTTATATGCATAGTGAGACAACATTAAATGAAAATGATTGTGGGGACAGAAGATGGATTTGTAAATCCCAGATAGAGGTTTTGCCTGCTCAAGAGCACTGCTGGGCAGAGACTCCTGGTAAAACCATCCTGACCAGGAGACAAACTTTCAACTGAGGGCTGAGGACTGAGAAAAAAGAGATAACATCAAACTCAAAGTCACTGGACAAAATAGCAGTGAGATCCCAGCACCTGAGAGGCTGAGGCAGGAGGACTGCTGTTAGTTTGAGGCCAGTCTGGGCTACACAATGAGTTCAAGGCCAGCCTGAACTACATAGCCATATCTTGAACCCAAGATCAAAAACCATAAAAAAAGAAAAGATACCAGTGAGATTCATTTCAGTGAAAATAGCAACATATCTCAAGAAACTCAAAGAATCATACTGTCAAAGACAGGCAGTTTCAATGAATTAGCTGAGGTTTCTCTTTGAAGGTGAGAGAATTGCTGATAATCATATTCCAAAAGAACTGGGAATGAAGGAATATGTGATTCAGGTTTATCAGAAACAAACAGGGGGCCCGGGGATTTAGCGCAGTGGCACAAGCACAAGGTCCCAGGTTCAATCCCTGGTACCAAAAAAAAAGAAAAGAAAAAAACAAACGGATCATTCAACAGTTTAGATAATTCTTTTTATTATTTTTCTTTTCCCTCAATCCTTATTTTTTTAAAAATACTTCTTTTGGGGGCAACCCACTATCCGGTCCCCCTTCTGTCTCAGACAGAAAGTTTCAATAAATTTTTCCTACTCTTAAAAGAAAAAACTTTTGTAATGTAGTGTTCAAAATGGAAATGAAAACTTGTACTCCATCTCTTTAAAGTATCTGGGAATTTAAATTCCAGGGCTAGTTATGCATCATCATTTGTTTTCACTGTGCTGATTTTTGGTAATCAAACCTCAGTTCCCTTCACAGTTTTCAGGAGAGGGTGGCCCCTTCTATGTTATGATGACCTCATTTCCCAGTGATGATAACTCACTTTCAGCTAACAGACATTACTGAGCAAAAGAAAGAACTAAAATACGATGAATATGGGGAATGACACATTCTCCTCTTAATTCCTCCCTGAAAATGAATGGAGAAACTAATTCAGTTAAATCCAAATTGGCACTAACTGGCCACTTGTACTAGTAGGTGAAGTCATTTCAGATAAAAGGCCCTGCACTTGAGTGCAACTTCTTCTTTGTCTTCTGTATTTATGGCCTTATCAGTAGAGAAAAACATAATTTTGCAGCTCTCCTCTTCTCACATGGGTATTTATATTACTTTGGGAAAAACAACCAGCTACAGGGTAAGAGCAGGGATTTAAAGGAAGGGACCCCACTTGCAGCACTGTATTTCACTACACCATTGCATTCTGCAGTGGGCTCATGTACAATAAAGCATTACCTTATTTTCCACTGGTCAATGTCCTTCACATCTGACATGTACATATAGTCCTCCGTAACATTATGGGGGAACAGTGAACATGCCTAGGTGCCTTGTTATACTGCCAACAAACTCTTAACCTCAACACTTTTCTTATAGAAGCTTAAGAACTAATTGGGGGTGGCTGGGGATTTAGCTCAGTGGTTTCCCTGCCTGCTGCGCAAGCACAAGGACCCGAGTTTGATCCCCAGTACCAAAAAAAAGAACCAATTGGGGGAGAAAAGAGAAATACTAAGATCTAAAACAGGACAAGATAAAGATCCAAAACATAATTTAGAAATTCAGAGAAAGAATATGCTTCTGATTATTTGGCATGGCAAGGGAACAGGCTTTGTGGAGATGAGATGAGATGTCAGTGTGAAAAGTTAGGATTTTAACTATAGAAAAAGGAGAATTTCAGGAAAGATGAGGGGTAGACAGGAATTGGAGAGGGCTCTGGAAGAGGAAATGAAAAAGTTAAGAGAAATTTATAAGGCAGGAAGGCTGCATTAAGGAGGTAATGTATGGGTACAGAAGAAAGAACCAAAAAAGGCCATTGAGATCAGAATGTGACTTATTTTCAATGCCAATAAGTTATCTGCATTTTATCCAATACAATATCAGAAAGTCACCCAATAATTTTTACATTAACTAGAAAGATGAAAACAGATGCAAGCAAATGATTAAATGTATGTTATCATCAAGGTCCTAGCTTTATTTTAAGTGATAAATTCGTTAGATTATCCAAATTTAAAAAAAGCTTTCACATGGATTTAAGTCATGCATCTGATAAGAGCAAATACTTGTTTCTGACTGTATTCCAAAGACTCAGAAAATCCAAAGTCTCAAAACAAATTTAAAAATTATCATACAGGGCACCAAAAAAATTAATCAGTAGTGCCTCCATATTCCGAATTTTAATTTCCATAGTTTTAATTACTTGCAGTCCACATCAGCCTGAAAACATTAAATAGAAAATTCCAGAAATAAACAATTCATATTTAGAACAGCCTGTCATTCTGAGGGACATGATGAAATCTCGATCCATCCCACTCCACACTACCCAAGACCTGAACCATCCCTTTGTGTAAATGTATCCCCACTTGGTATAGTTCAAATCTGAAATGTCCCCAAAAGTCTCATGTGTGCAGAGGTGGGGCTTGCTGAGGATAACTGGATCATGAGGGCCCAAACTCCACTACTGGATTAATCCAGTGATAAGATCATAATTTCACAGCATTATTAAGAGGTGATAGCAAAATAAATAAATAAATAAATAAATAAAAAAGAAGTGATAGCAACTCAGGAGGTGGACCCCAGTTGAAGGGAGTAGGTCACGGGGATGTGACCTTAGGGACTATATCTGGCCCCCAGTTCCTTCCTCCCTGGGTCTTTCCCTCTCTGCTTCATGGCTGCCACAAGGTGAGCAGCTTTCCTCTGTTGTGCCCTTCTGCCATGATGTTTCTGCCCTGCCACAGCCCCAAGAACAACAAGCCAACCAGGAACTGAAATCTTTGAAACCATGAGTCAAAACAAATCTTTACTTCTTTAAGTTGTATCTCTCAAGTATTTGGTCACAGTGATGAAAATCGAACACAACACTATTTTCCTATTAGTCAATCTGGTTATCAGAGTGTTACTCTTTCATAGTACCTGTGATCAAGTAGCCCTAATTTTACTTTATAATGGCCCTAAAGTGTAAAAGTAATGATGCTGGCATTTAGATATGTCCCAGAGAAGTTGTAAAGTGTTTCCTATAAGTGAAAAAGTGAAAGGTTTCAATCTAAGGAAAGAAAAATACTGTTCTGCTGAGATTGCTAAAGTCCATAGTAAGAATGAATTTTCTATAGATAAACCTGTGAAAAAGGTAAAAGAAATTCAGGCTAGTTAATCAAGTATCCTGGGATGAGCTATGCACCTTGAACTACAGGTTACAAAAAAAAGGGAGAGACTACAGTCACATAACTATCATAGGCACAATAAAAGACTAGAGCCTGATTAAAAAATTAAACTTTGGGCTGGGGATTTAGCTCTGATTCCACCACCTGCCTAGCAAGTGCAAGGTCCTGGGTTCAATCTGTGGTACCAAAAAGAAAAAACTGAACTTTATCAGAGGTATGTTTGTATGGAAAAAAGATAGTATATACAGTGGTATCTCGGTTTACAAACTTAATTCAGTACCAAGGTACCACTGTATATTGTTATGATTTAGATCTAAGATGTTCCCCACAAAGTCTCAGGTATTCAGAGGTAGAACTTTTGGAAGTTCTATTTGGGTCATGCAGATGATATACTCATCAGTGGATTGATCCATTGATGAATTCATAGCTTTACGTGTTATTAGGAGATGGGGCCTCATTGGAAGAGGTATGTCACTGGGGGCATGATTTTAGAATGTATATCTTTCTCCCCAGCTCCTCCCTTATTTCTCTTACTTTCTTGCTGCCATGAAGAGAATAGTTTTCTTCCTCCATGCCCTTCTCCTATGATGGTTCTGCCTTGGAACCAGCTTACCCTGGACTGACTCTCCTGAACCATAAGCCAAATTAAAACTCTCCACCCTTAAGTCAATGTTAGATACTTGTCACACCAATGGAAAAGTAACTACTATCCATAGTTTTAGGCATCCACTGGGTATTGATAGACTTATATTTTATCAATATTCAATGATTATTTTAATAAGGCACTACCTCCAAATTTCTTGACTGCTTTCTCCACTGCACTGCTGATTTGCTGTTCATCTCTCACATCCACAATACATGGCAAGGCCTTTCCTCCAGCTGCTTCAACTGCAAAGGGTAAACAAACAAAAAGGCATTAAAGGATTCAAGTATTATACCTTCCATTCTGATATAATAGGCAAAAGAAAAAACTACCCTTTTCAGAAAATCAATATAAATAACTGTCTTATAATTACTAGTGACTCCAATACACAGGACAGATTGACCACATCCAGCTTTCTACTAGCTATGTCAACTCTATTTAAAAAAACAAAAAAGAAAGCTGGGCATGGTGGTACACACCTGTAATCCCAGCACTTGGGAGGCTGAGGCACGAGGATAGTCTTGAGTTCAAGGACACCCTGGGCTACATAGTGAGTTCAAGGCTAGTTTGAACTACATAGTGATACCCTCCCAAAAAAACAAACAAACATAAAATTAAAATTAAAAATTAAAAAGGGAGGGTATTTTTAAAAAATTCTATTAAAAAGCAATAAAAAGGTAATTAAAAAATCTGTATTACAGAAAATTTTGAAAAGTACATGAAAATACA